TTTATATTTTAAAAAAACCATATTATAAAAATCTTTTTTTACGCTAATACATGTGCATGAGTTTATTTCCCTTTTCGGCTCCCAGTCATGCATCCACACCATATCACGAGTTGTAACGCCGTGCTCATCATCCCCTGCAATCGCTGTCCAGATTAGATCAGACGATCATCAATATACTGAGAGCCTATCAAATATATCTTCGAACCTCCTCGCTTCTGTCTTTTGATTTCAGTTGGTGGGTACGATTCATTTTAGGTGTTACTGGTTAAAGCGTTGTCAAAATCCAAATACCTGTGGCATTTTCAGTACTATATCATAACATATATTTCTGACGTCTTTACTAACCGTTCGTATACTGAACAACCTGCGACTTGGTAAGTTAATTGGCGGTCAAGTAACCCGCGCTTGCACATGGGTCCTCTGTCTAAGTAGTCGAGCGAACATCCTGCATGCTGATTATGGCATGGTCACAACCACATCAACACTAACAGCGGTTAGAAACTATCATAAACATAAGTTTGGAGTCATACTTCCGGTAGTAGGAACCTATGTTCTCTACAGGCAAGTTATGTACATTCATCGTATATGTACGCAGCGATCTCCATTTTCTACTTTTTCAATGACAATCTAAACTAAACTTCAGCCATTTTTCGCCCAGTTGATGACCCTTGACTTAATGTCAATACATGCATCAAAGACTCGACGTCGCATTACTAGGCGATTAGTAACGATCATGTTCATCTTATCTATTTGTCCACATGTATAAGTGCACCCTACAGTGTTCGTTGCCTGCAAACATTACTTGATTACTGGAATTAATACTTTGTTCCTGTCGCACTGTTTGTTAGAACACAAAGTTTAGAGCTATTCTCTCGGGAATGCACATGCAGGTCAGTTTCATTCGCCCGTTGTGAACAATCATACGTACTGGCTCTTTATCATGTCTTAGTACGGTTTCGTAACAAATGGGGTCGACCGCATCAACTTTAAACGTCATAAACCACGCTAGGCTTCACGACCAAGATGGAACACGACTCAGCATATCCCATCTCCACAGTTACTACTCCATTTCTCTGGTCATTCTACTAATACATATTTAAACATAACTCGTGTGGTTATAACTAGAACGACAACGTAGACTAACTTCGGGTTTCATGGTTTTATCAACTGCAGTACAGCAAGGAATATCAGCCATCGATGCAGTTATCATTTTGCTGATGGATTGTTTTTTTCACACAAACTCCATGTGTGTAAATTGAAATCCAGTAATCGTTAATCGACTTTATTTACTCTACTGAGGTTAATTAGAACCTACTCATTTTCAACCATTTTTATCCTTATATTCTGGCGGCACAACAGATCAATTTCTGTCATATTCTCTTCTACTCACTTTCACTATTGTTTCCACTGTCACAAACGATTCATTACTTTGTTTTCACGATCGTTTAAATCACTCATGTGAACGTACTATTTTATTATCTAGACAGTCACAATATAAACCTATGTTGTTTTCTGCACACTTAATAATTTGCTTATAATCTAATGCTAACTTCTTTTCGTCTGTGCCTTCACGATATTCATGTATATTTTGCGTAAGTATGACACTTTCATGTTATATACTCACTCCTCACGTGACACTGCACTTTGTCAGATATAGTACAAACTTTCTCACTATTTGTTGTTAGATTCAACCACATACGTCTTCAGTGTTATTTTAGAAAACAGACATTTTTGAAAAGTAATCTGCTATTTTCCAAAGGAGGGCTTTATAGGAGCTAGTACTATGTCAATCCTAAATAGGTTATTCTAGACTCTGGACAAAATAATCCATTCATTCTTCTCAAGAAACATTTTTACCTGGTCACTTATTCGCTTAGTAACCTTGATTGTTTTATTACAGTGTATGTGTTGATTACCCACCCTATTCATTGTATGAGAATAAATATCGAATCACGCTTGACCAAATGAAGTTAGCACACTCTTCTTCTCCTCTGTGTGTCATTTCGTCTCACTTCATTTCGCGTCTTCCTCTTCGCTTCTATCATTTCGTTACTCTAGTTGTCTGTCCAGGTCAATGCATGTACCACGGAAGTGAAGAAGCATGATGTACAAAAAGAAACGGTGGATTACTGCCAACAAAAGGTGTATGCAAGGAGAATTTTCACAAACAACCACGTACAAACATAACGGCCTTAAACTACTTACACTAATATAGAAGGCACATAAATGATACTTTTATCCTGTACCATAAGAAGTGTAATCTGAGTTATATTCCATAAACTCTCAACAACCATTTCCTGCCATTGAAATTTGAGCATGCAAGCAACAGACTGAGTGCTCATAACAAATTTATTTTTCGATACATCTTAGTGAGTAGAAACTTGTAATTCTAACGACTCGTGACTCAATGTATCAATTAACTTGAAGCTATCAGGTCTAACCTTGGCATTAGTACCTACACGCTACGCATCCATTTTCTCTAAATCAAAATAGTAAGAAGATTTGATTTAACCCTAATACTAAACCGTGCGTTTCGATAGGGAGACTAAGTTGGAGAGACCCATTCCACCTTCATAGGATTCGCCAGAGAGATCACTTACTGTTTTAGTCCCTCACCGTTGATTTCATTCCAACATACCCGCCTCATACACGGTACAAGGAGTAGCTGCTTGGATCTTATATCACAAGTGCGATCTCAGAAATGTCAGGTATAATAATCTAAACATTTTTTGTCCAAGTGGCGAGAAGACACTAACAGCCCATTAGAACCTGAAATCTTATGAAGCGGTAGTCTGAAAGTCATTTGTCGTCCTTAGGCTGTTTCTCACTATGACTTCAAGGTCATTTTGGTCCGTTATAGATGACACAATTTCACTTGTTGTGCAACGATATTGCGGAGATGTGACCTTCAGTAAAGTGTCTGGGTGGGGCGGCGTTGGCTGTAGCGGATACTGTTGACGGAGAGGGGCGTTGAGACGTGCGGCTATTGGGCGGACATCAGATGTAGATGACTGAACAGGTCGCTGGAGCGCAGCCGTTGAATGTCCCTGATGCCGGGTGGATGTCGGATGTTGATACCGTGGCAGGTCGACAGAGCTATGGAGGTCAGCGCGCCACAGACTCGATATTTTGACGGAGAGCGTGGCCTAGACTGCGCGAAAGAGGAAAGTACCACGCAGAGTAGAACCACCGCAAGAACGACTGTTTTAAAGGGGAGACGGGTGTTGTGTGCGCTTCTTATATCCACATGAGTAGCATATAGCGATAGTCAGGAATCGAATGTATTTCAGTGGGAGTTCGAGAAGAGAAGAAAGGGAGCATGAAGCAATCGATATGGAAGAACTGGAACAATGAAATCTGACACTATACATTGGTATTTGTAAAAGGAACAGTCAAGTTTGAGACAAGTGGTTGATATTTCGCAAATTAAGTATTTACTGATTGATTCTCAGATTTTACTCATATGTTCTGTAATTTTGCGTTCAAATGAATTCGCTTGTCCACACATGTGTTCCTGTTCACTACAACATGAAGTGTTCCAGTTATTTATTCGTATCACTACATACTTCCTAGAACTAGCTTCTATTGGCCACTTGCCCATCCACTCAACCAGCGGATATAGGTCATATTGTAATATTATCCCTCCTGGTTATGGGACTTCGAATGTTGATGCTATATTGCCAAGAGTAAAACAGTCGACTTTTCTAAAATTAGCAAATCATTTCTACAAAGCAAAAAAGAAAATGACCATGGGTTTTTCCATGTTACTTCCTGACTAAAACATTTATAGATCACCAACGTAGATGATCTGTCGAATAATTATGGACCTATTCGAGTTAGGAGGAAATGGAGTGGCCAACCAGCTAACGTCTAAGTCACACCTCGCGGTCAGTACCTTATGTGGATTACCGTCTCAACGTTCCCAGTTCCCGTTTCTACCTTGATGACCGTACGACAAAACGACGTTATTACAGAAATATATTAGTAAGAGTAGGTACAAGGAACAGAATCAGGTCAGTGATGCATGAGCTCGTCTATGAAAAGCAACTAGTTTGCGTACATCGTTTAGCCCTGACGTTGGCGAAGGCAGGTGAACTGTTCGATATTTAGCGATTTGACTGCTGCAGGATTTGATTAGGGCCCAGTGACATTTCAATGGTCCTGCAGATTATTCGCCCCTACATACTCTTGAATAGCCATATGAATATTTTACATCATATTAATGACTGCACCAGTGAAACTTACGGGTTGGTGGTCACACACAAATCTCTACCTTCTAGTTCATGAATGGGGACTGATAGTTGAGTCTTTTCCGTCTCTCGGCAGTATAGACTTGTTAAAAGACAAATCAAATGGTATTCCCAGAGGTCCAGCAAACTTATCCACCTGAGATTTTATAATCCTTGTATGAATATCGTTATGGCCACTGTTTTTATCTGGATTGAGATGTTGAAGTACCTGTAAGTTAGCTCCTTTCTTAATAATTAGAAAATCGAACGACAAGCCGACACTATGATCTATTGTTGGCTCTATACCAAGGGCCAAAAAATTCCACTGAAATATTCCAATAAAGCTGCAGCCTTTGCAACATCAATTCACGCTAATATCAACGGAATTTCTTATACCAAAAAGGTGAGTTCATCGCTTTATATACGAGAACAATCCTTTTGGACTAATTTCACAATCCCTGAACAATTGTCTTCCAGACGAATGCCTAGCTTTACTGACCAGTGCTTTGCATAAATCCTCAGCCTCGCAATAAGTGGATCTTTGTTTCCGAGGGCCTGTAGAGATAAGCATATTTCTATGCTTTTTCCTACGTCTAAGAAGTTTCTCGATCTCAATGGTAATCCGCAGTAATATTCCTGCCCGTTTCATACCCAGGTTTCTAGCTGAAGACACTGGTAATCATTGACACTAAGCACGCAATTTCGTAAATTTACAACTTATTCTACACCATATATAAACATTTCAGTTTTTTATGTTAGGTCTGTGGTTCCAATTGTCATCTTCGCATCTAGCGCGAAATTTGCAACGGAACTTAACACGTCTTTACACGTTTCATAGTTTTGGTAAGTCCTTTGTTCTGCTCAATAAACTATGCACATATCTTTGAAATTGGAGAAAAGACAGTCAAATATAATTTTTGCAACCTCGTCCTCAACTCTTCTAGCGCCTCAAAAGTGTCCACAAGGTCGGCCTGTTAGAAATAATTTATCTGATGTCCTTGATGTTATCATTTTTAAAAGCCGCATAGTTTGTAACAATTTAATATGGTAACCAACATTAATAGACTTTAAAGAGTGTTTTTGTGATTTCATTCTCTAATCACTCAAGCCTCCAAGAAGAAGATTAATCGTTCATCATAGAAGCATTATTCATTGGTTAACTGTGTCAGAATTAAGAAAGTCTTCAGCCTCGTATGAATCCTAGGTGGATTCGAAAGCTTCCAAAATTGGTCGGTTATTTAGAGATTACTGAGAAAGTAATTGCAATAAGGATTGATCAAGGTAAATAATGCCATACAAAATTCCCCACTCGTCAACCATGTTCGTATATTGGTAATAAGGCTGAGCCTGGCGACTTGTAGAACTTGGGGACTAGATCTCCTTTCAGATGGACACCTCATTAGGTGGGTCAGTCGTCACTGTCCGACTGTTGGGCTTAGCCACGTAGGTATGTGTAGACAACCTAGTGGATGTCTAAAGGATTATTGTAACCGATAGTTAGAAACTTGAGGTTAACTTGTTCAAAATCGTCCGCAATTGAGCAGGTACTTTCACTCTTGCCTTATATTATAATTTCTTAATCCACCTCATAAACTTCTCTCTACTCCACTAATTCATATTTTCTCAAACTATCTTTGATGTCTAACTTTCTCTATTTCCATTAATACTTTTGTATTCGATTGCAACGGAAGCCTCAACCATTCTTCTGCAATGGAGTAATATTAGTAGGTGCCGTTGTATGATAGCCAATGGTCAAAAATAGGTTTATGTCTCACTTCTTCTCTTAAGATCCTTGAATATATGTGCGTCATCGGTTTTCCAGTCCCTTTAGATGAACCATCAGTACACATAAACCCTGTTTATAGGCCGCATATCGTCCTTAATTAGTGTATTGGGGTCGTAAGCTGTAGTGGGGAGATTAAAAGTACAACTCTGTTTTCGAAATTTTTGTAAACCAATGTTTAATTATATTTTAAAAGTCAGGTGCTTAAACTATGTGATCAAATACATTTTTCAGCAATGATTGTCGACCTTAGTCTTAGTAAAGTGATCCTATTTTGTATATTACCAGATTATGTATGATAGTACTGATTCTTTATTAATCATCCCCTCAATTCTTTTGCTTCCATGTGCACCTGAGTTTATTATTATTATTATTATTATTATTTCCTTGTTACATCAAACATTTGTCTTAAAATAAATATGATTATTGCTTTGCTTCAATTCATATGGCAAATAATCAACCGTATAGAATAACAAGTCACCTACTTTCGTAAACTCTCTTCTTATAACTCCATTTATTTATTTCTTGTTAGTTATTATTTGAAACTATCATTTATTTCTGTCAAAAGTATCTCCAATTTCCTCATAATATCTAGCTTGAATAACCTGTTCCCAATCATTTGGTAATCCCTCAAAATGGCGACAATGGCTGAATTTATACAGCAATCTGAAATAAATGATGGAATACGTTTTTCCTGGAATGCTTGGCCTGCTTCTCGACTAGAATCTGCTCAATGTGTTGTGCCTATTGGATGTTTGTATACTCTGTTCAAAGAACGTTATGATTTCCCACCAATTAATTATGATCCAGTGTTCTGCAGTCGATGTCGTGGTATTCTTAACCCTTATTGCCCGGTAAATTCCTTTGGATTTATAAAGAATCCCCATATTTTTCATATTTTTACCAGTGACCAAGCTATTTTTCGGTAGTGGTTTTAAGCAAGATTATATATATATATATATATATATATATATATATATATATTACTAACCACAAGTTACGTAATTATTTGTACAAAGTTGTTTTACAAGTTAGTGCCACCCAAGGGTCTATCTTATTATACTGAAATTGCACAGCGTTTAGCTACACTGGTTTCCATCATTGCGAAATTGTTATATTTTCATCCAAGTTGGAGATACACTTTACTAATGAATTTTGAAAATATTCTGTTCCATCATGAGGTTAACTGACCACTTGAATTATTTATTATCATTATTTTATTTAAACACAAACATTGGTACAAGGAGGCACCAAATAGATATGCGCCACATAAATCATTCGATTTGTGTGAGGGCTGGGATACTACCCGGGTGCCCAGACCGAAGCAGCTGGTTTTCTTAGGGGGCCATACCCCGAGCCTTGGACCTAAAGGTCTGACCCACAAGGCAATGGAGCGTCGTGAGGAGATGCAGTCCCATGGTAGCCGGTGACCAACGATTGGTTCATACGTCATTTGTTCCCGCAAGATACTGGAGCCAGTCCATGTGCATCATTGGTTTGGGATCCGGTTAAAGTGCCGGACAATCGCTTTTCGTCCTCTCAATTTCTTAAACAACACCCCCGCCATGAGAAGGCAATGAGGACCTCCTGGATTCATTTCACTAACAAATGTAAGTCGTTGCCACGTGTTATTTTATGGGTAATCAGTTAAAAAAAATTAATCTATGCATCTGAGCTATCACTGAAGGGTATTTAACTTTAATCTACCTAAGTAGCGTGGCAAAGGTTTGTGTACTCGTCGTCTATGGGCTATACATTCTATATGAAGTTTATTGGTACTGCATGATTGACTGAAATCGAAACAGATGAATTGAAGTCAAAACTTTCTGACTAAATGTTGAGATCCATTGGCTTTAACCCATTAGTTACCTAATTCTTATGTATCTTTATCCCACCTTGTTATTTGGAATCTATGTACACAGTACACTTTTTCCGATAGAATTAAATTATGTTACTTGATCTAATGATGTCATCTGTCCTTTCTTTTTAATCATCTTCGTCTATTCTTAGTTTGATATTAGAACTCGTACATGGACATGTTGTTTGTGTAATACACGAAATAGTTTTCCACCTCAATATGCAGGAATGACTGAACAAAAATTACCTGCAGAATTGATGGCTCAGTTTACCACACTTGAATATACCATCCCAGTAAGTCTATTTTTTAATTTACCCAAGTGTATTATGTGAAAATACATGTTGAATTGTTCCAAAGTTATCTTTAATTTTATGTACCATCTAGCTTTTATATTTATCCGTTGTGAATAATTTTCTGCTTGTTTTATCTGTCTTAATTTGATGGAAAAATTGTTTTCGAAGCTCAATATTACATTCCTACTGCTTTAATTGTGCATCACTTACATAACAATTGCTACCGGATTTAATCAATTTCTTGATGACGATTTTTGATCATCGAGAATCGTTCAATGTTCTTAACTCAAAAAGTTCAGGTTTCAAAGGCACGACATGAAACTGCTGCCATCTGTTCACTATTCAATCGAATTTTTACAAGATCAGCATCACAACTCCGCTATAATTGACGCATATTAACATATCCTATTCTGACAACAATAATGGGCGGATTAAATGTGATTGAGGTAGCCTGTGTATTATCATATCATATCCATACTTGAGATCAGATTTTCATCTAGATAACATTTACATCTCTATGTCATACTTTATTCAAAGATACTTCCAGAATGTCATCGATGAAAAATTGAAGAGTCGTGAGATTGTGCAACTCTACCTAGTACCACTGGATTTTTGAAAAGAAAGAAATCATGCAATGAATAAAAAGGGATATTGTGCGTTGAAAATTTTTGTTTAAGTATGAATATAGTGAAGATTTACTTGTTAGTAGTCGGTTTATACTGTAAGAAAAAACAAATGGAAAGCCACAATTTTTGTTTTACCAGAATTATTGTTAGTTGTTCACTGTAACTGTCTTGTTAATTTCTCCTCTCTGTATCGCTGTGACCAATCAGTTATCATCAACGTAGGGCCCAGTATTCATGTTTATCAATTTAAGTTTCCATAAAATCAAAATCAACACAGCTAGACAGAAAATCGATAAGATAAGAAATAAAGAAGAGGATTTAATTTCAGCTACACTGAGAGATACAATTAGAAAAACAAACAAACAAGATCAAAGATTTAAACATGTTATTCAAGTCAGAATTTGAAAGAAGATTATAACAATTCATAGAACCGTAACTGATTTCATGCCTTGTCATTTACTTTCTCTAAATATTGACATGTATACATTTATTTGTATTTATTTTTTAGAAAGTTCAACTTGTTCCACCCATTTTTATGTTTGTTATTGACACATGTATTGAAGAACCAGAATTTACTCATCTTAAAGTAAGTTCATTGTAAATATTGACTTGAATTTCTTAGTAAGGTTATTAACAATGCTTTTATCTTCACAAAGTATGTCTTATCCGTTACTTTCGACCATCATGAGGTTTTATTTCAAACCTTAAGATTTACACCTGAACTAAGGATAGGGAGTGAAGTAGTCGAACGCGTCGACAACTTCACTTATCTTGGAAGTCTGATCAGCCCTAATGGGTTGGTGTCTGACGAAATCTCAGCACGGATTTGAAAAGCTCGTTTGGCTTTTGCCAACTTACGTCACCTTTGGCGGAGGCGAGATATCCGTCTATCAATTAAAGGACGAGTATACTGCGCGGCAGTCCGTTCTGTCTTACTTTACGGCAGCGAAACATGGCCTTTAAGAGTGGAAGACACCCGTAAGCTACTAGTATTTGACCACAGATGCCTTAGAAATATTGCTGGCATCTGCTGGGATCACCGGGTAAGTAATAGTGAGGTTAGACGCAGGGTATTAGGGAATAGTGATGGTAAATCAGTTGATGAGGTTGTGAATCTTCATCGACTGAGATGGTTGGGCCACGTATTACGTATGCCTGAACACCGATTACCACGACGTGCAATGCTAACCGGTGTCGGAGATGGTTGGAAGAAAGTTAGGGGCGGCCAAACCAAAACGTGGCATCAGTGCTTGAAGTCACTAACTTCTAGTCTGAGCCATGTTGGTAGATGCAGACTACTTGGTTGGGGTCCGCGTGACTATCGTAACCAATGGTTGTAGACTCTTGGTGATACGGCTCAGAATCGGTCACAATGGCGTCGGTGTATACACTCCCTGTCTTCCCTTAAACTAAGAGACTAAAATCACTTCATTCTTTCTGTCTACGAACTAATTCTTTCTTCCTATATTATATCCTTATTGCAACCTTTGACCTAACCACTCCTATGAATCCGGTGTTCATCTTGCTGTGCTAATGAGGTATGGCAACCTGGACCGATGCACATATGTGCCTGGTCCTACGTTGTAGCTGACTGACTGACTGACACCAGTGATGTTTTTCATCAAAGATTTTAAACTCCTACATTGGAGATGTTCATAGCAAATAGTTGCCAATAACCTCAAATGAATTTCTCTTTTTCTTTCCTACTTGTAACATTGACAGTTCAAATGTGATAAATAGTATATTGAAATGTTTAGTTATGTTTCTCATCATGAATAACGTTCTCTTTTGCTTTCTCTTGTAAACTTGAATGAACTAATAAAAATAATTGAAACGTTCTAATATGTATTTATCATATTCCAGAAGTATCAAACATTAATTGTCGACCCTTTTTAGTCTTTGAAAACAATATAACTCACACTGTACTTCACTGGAGTACTTGCTGTTAAAAAAGCTTACTCTTTCACTGTTTCTCTATGTTTTCCATATCTCATTTAGTCACGAGCAACGTTGAATCTGATACACATGTACAGTCTTTCAAGTTGCCATATCAAGGTGAAATTATCTAAGCAAATCACAGTAGTGGGAATAGTGACAGTATCAGCGGTAATAAGAAAGATTAAATATAGACAGTATATTTCTAAACGAGAGGATGATTTCGTGGAATAGAAAAGTATAAGATTATTTTCAAATTAAAGATCTCGGAGGAAACAAAGAGTGAAAACATATACACAATTGTAACGGATTCCGTACCATGTCACACATCGTCTCCCAACCACTGGTTAAGATAATCATGTAGACCATAACCAGATAGTTTGGATCTGCACAGACGGGTCAATCCAACAGTCAGTGACTTTGAAGATTGGTGCTATATGTTGGTTTTCCCGTCTTTAACTTTTTTTTTCGAACTGGTGTTGCACCGGCAAATAGCTAAAAGCATACACATATAAATACGTATAATAAACCTACAGATGTAGGTAGTATGTTGAGACATTCTCTTAAAGAGCTTATTTATCAACGGGGACTGATAAAACACTTCTGACTATGAATAACTCGAAAATCCAAATGATTGTGAAAAATAGTTAATACTATATCCATTGAACAAATTAGTGATGATCATGACTTAGTACGCTAGTCTCAAACGTGTTATCGTCTGAAGTGTAACAGGTACTGATATCGAGTTTCAATATATGAACATCAACACTGGAACGCAGGCGTTTTAAGTTAATCAGTAACAAGTAGACCTTAATATGCGTTACGGATTCCACTGCTGGATACAATTCAGAAATATCATAGTATGTATTCTTGACTTTCCGTTAAGTAAACGTCACCTTAAAGTAATTTATAGCTTTGTGACTTGTAAGCTCATATTTAATAAGTATTTATGCTTGAATTATTGATTAGAACTTTTGTCAAATTCAATTTCTTCTAGGAGTCTATTCAATTGTCGTTGAGTTTCCTACCACCACATGCTTTTGTTGGTTTGATCACTTTTGGGAAAATGGTACATGTTCATGAATTGGAAGCAGGACCTATTTCTAAATCATGGGTATTTAAAGGAACAAAAGATTATACAGGGAATCAAATCCAGGTACGAAAAAAAACAACTGTTCTCCTCTTTCTAATATGTTAATCTTTTCTTTCATCTTCATTTTAAAGCACTTTTATGCTTATAATTCCTCCATTGTAGCTGGTACCTTGACGTAGTATGTCATGTTTACATATAGTCATAATGTAATCGAGTCATATTGGTTGGAACATTCTTTCCTTTAGGTCCTACTATACCAGAGAGGGACAATGCTGAAAGCAGCTAACCCGTGGTCCAAGGACGAAGTCGTACTCCAGACTGTGTACGAATGTCATGACGATCTGGTATTTTCCTCAAAACTAGCACGCCTAATTTTCCTCCACGGATCTGTCGCTAGTGGCAATGTCCTTCGGATGGCAAAGCTTTCTCATCTAGGACTGTTTGAAAAAATGCTACGTGTTACTGACCTCAAGTAGTTTTCCCTTGTGATCTGGGGTCATACTCTCGGGTCTTCATGTTCACACCTAACCCAGTTTTGTTTACAGGTCGTTTTGGATGAACTGTCTTTCCATCATGTGGACAACCTGGATGTGACAGCCGCCCTGACGCCTCTAACATTACGCAAGATCACCACATCTTTATGCTTTGGTTCTGGTTATCGAACAACTCAACTAAACGAAAGAATTGAGAAACCTTAGAATAATGGTCTAATCTATATTCTTGTTCGGATCATATTCCACGTCTACTATTTATTCTATAACCTAGTACCCTAGACTTAATCATTTATGTCTAACCTGCACAGCTGTTATCGTCCCGCTATACTTAAGCCTTTCTCTAGCCCCTACTCTATGTCAGCGACCAGCTTCTATCATACTCAATACATTAATGATCCACAACTCGTGTAATAATATGGAGTAAAATCCTGTCCACACGTCGAGTTAGGAAATTACAATAACAGCATAACTACGCCATAAGTAGGGGAATTTAGTAATGAATTTGTAATAAATTAACAATAAATTAAGGAAGGTACAACACTCAATAACGGTTTATACATCATGTACGAGCTTACAAACAGGAAAATATCATAATTTAAGTATTTACTAGTCAAAAACTAAAAATATAAACAGTATTTCAGGTAGTGCAGTTCTAAAAGTTTAGCTTTTCTAAATACCTATTAAAACATTACTGAGTTCAGATTCAAGTACATCCGTTTGACACAATCCAAATATGGGACTCCTCAGCAGTGCGCATCCACGATCCCGCACCACGCGGGGCTCGAACCCAGGACCTACTGGCTTCGCGCGCGAGCACTTAACCATTAGACCACTGAGCCGGCATCCAACGGTGTCAATGTCTAACTTCAACCAATCCACGAAGTTGCGCCACCATATGCCGGCTCAGTGGTCTAATGGTTAAGTGCTCGCACGCGAAGCCAGTAGGTCCTAGGTTCGAGCCCCGCGTGGTGCGGGATCGTGGATGCGCACTGCTGAGGAGTCCCATACTAGGACGAAACGGCCGTCCAGTGCTTCCAGGTTTTCAATGGTGGTCTAGCTTCAACTGACTCATGATTTCAATCTGTGAAAATTTCTAAAAATCTCCACAAACACCTTCTGATAACAATCCAAATAGGATGAAAAACGCGTTCTAGTTTCTCCTGGAAGCCAATAACTAGTTCTAATAAGACTTCGTATATGTACTATGTAACTAACACCAAGCAAAGTAAGAGCAATGTCATTAATTTTGATGATGGATTTGTTTTAATGAATTTAGAACTTAACCTTCCAATTTTCAAGTGTATCAGATTAATAACATATGTACAAATGATGGATACATAATCTATTTCTCATCTAGGTTATGTTAAGTGTTGGTCGTAGTTCAGTTACAACTGCTAATCAACCTACTTCTGTATTCAATCCAAATTCTCCTCCAGGTGCTCCTAAAGGTGTTTACAGTTCTGAAAAACAATTTCAACAACCACAAATGGCTCAATTACCATACAATAGGTTGTTTAATGCTTCTTCATTGTTCATTTGAATTTATAAAAAAGAAAATTGTTTTATCACTGAACAATTAGTTTCTTACTATTCATTTAGAATTCTTTTACATATGTAGTGTTCACTATCCTGATGATTCAGTTCTTTACTCAATTGTCAATAATCATAATTTTACAATGTTTAGTTACACGAGTATATAAAAGTTTCGGGAATTTCTCATATATTTCCTATCAGGATAATGATCACCACTCTGTTATGTCTTATAACACTTTGTTGTGACTTGAGACCAACGATCAATATCACGTTCTGTATTACAATTCCGATTATCAATTGGTTCACTTATGTGGTAATTAGTATCGGTGACCTGTTTCACGAATTGACACATCAACTAATGAACTACAGCCGATGTGTTAATGCGTATTGATCCTCGAGCTCCTTCTAACCCAGTTACTTACTTACTTACTTACTTACGCCTGTTACTCCCAATGGAGCATAGGCCGCTGACCAGCATTCTCCAACCCACTCTATCCTGGGCCTTCTCTTCTAGTTCCATCCAATTCTTGTTCATTTTTCTCATGTCTATCTCCATTTCTCGGCGTAATGTGTTCTTTGATCTTCCTCTTTTCCTTTGGCCTTGAGGATTCCATGTGAGGGCTTGTCTTGTGATGCAGTTGGGTGCTACCCTCAATGTGTGTCCTATCCACTTCCAGCGCTTCTTCCTGATTTCTTCCTCCTCTGGGATCTGGTTTGTTCTCTCCCACAGTACGTTGTTGCTAATAGTGTCCGGCCAACGGATCTCAAGTATTTTGCGTAGACAATTGTTAATAAACACCTGTATTTTCTGGATGATGGCTTTTGTAGTTCTCCAGGTTTCTGCCCCATACAGTAGAACTGTCTTGACATTTGTATTGAAAATCCTGAACTTGGTGTTGGTTGACAGTTTCTTTAAGTTCCAGATGTTCTTCAATTGTAAATATGCTGCTCTTGCTTTGCCGATCCGCGCCTTCACATCTGCATCAGATCCTCCGTGTTCATCAATGATGCTGCCCAAATACGTAAAGGTTTTTACATCTCCCAAATCTTCTCCGTCAATTGTGATTGGATTGGTGCATTCTGTGTTGTATCGGAGAATCCTGCTTTTCCCTTTGTGTATATTGAGACCTATTGCTGCTGAGGCTGCTGCCACACTGTTTGTCTTCTCCTGCATCTGTTGTTGCGTTTGGGATAGAAGGGCCAGATCGTCTGCGAAGTCTAGATCATCCAACTGCATCTTAGATGTCCATTGTATCCCGCGCTTTCCTTCAGACGTTGACGACTTCATGATCCAGTCGATCACCAGGAGAAAGAGAAAGGGTGAGAGTAAGCAACCTTGCCTAACACCGGTCTTCACTTTGAACGACTTTGTCAACTGTCCTCCATGCACGATTTTGCAGTGTAATCCATCATATGAGTTCTGTATGATATTGACTATCTTCTCAGGCACGCCGTAGTGTCGAAGAAGTTTCCATAGTGTTGTTCTGTCCACGCTATCAAATGCTTTTTCGTAGTCAATGAAGTTGATGTAGAGTGATGAATTCCATTCAATTGATTGTTCCACAATGATCCGTAGAGTTGCGATTTGGTCTGTAGCTGATTATAAAACGCATATAGGACGTAGGTTAGTTCGCTACTGTACTTAGTTCAATCATGACTCATAACGCATATAATATTATACTTGAAATAACTGATTACACAACACAGTAGATAAGAAATCATTATTTAAACAAAATCATGCCGTAAATGGCAGCAAACAGTACATAATTATTTAGCAATACCTATGGGACAGTAAAACATATAGCGATAGTTAATAGGTTTACTGAAAGCGTACAATAAAGGGAACACAGATATTCAGCCATACAGTTATTTACTAGTTATACAATGAAAATATTAGTAATAATAATTCGAATAGTCGTTCTGAAAGTCCCAACTATCTCTATATTCGTTTCGTTATAACAAGTAATCTATTTTACTAATCAACTGCATATCCAACCAGTGGGAGATACTGAACACTTCTGATTTTAGATTACTCTTTAACAATCGAGAGTTGTAACTTCCAAGTCACTATTCTACAGTCTTCTTAAATAAGAAAATTTTCAATTAAGTGCACAAGTCAACACGTATTCAGTGAATATTATTTACTTACTCCTGTTACCCATTTTAAAGGACATTGGGCCGCTCAACAGCATTCACCATCCAAATCTGTCCTGGTCAGTCCTTCTCACACCTGCTTCCAATCATCGAAGCATTGTGTTCCTTGGTCTTCCTATTTTCCGTTTTCTTTCAGGATTTCAAGTTAGCGCTTGCCACGTGATACAGTTTCATGATTTCCACCATGTATATCCTATCCAATTCCATTGTCTTTTCTTAATTTCCTCTTCAGCTGGAAGCTGGTTTTCTTTCTCCCACAGTAGGTTGTTGCTGGTGTTATTCAGCGAATGAACATTGAGTATCCTGCGTAGACAATTATTTACAAATGCTTTTACTTTTTTGATGATGTTTGTGGTGGTTCTCCATGTTTCAGCTCCGTACAGTAGAACCGTTTTGAGGTTTGTACTAAAGATTCTGACATTGATATTGGTTGTGTTCTCTATACTGTATTGCTTGGTGATTAAACCTACATAGTCTTTTGAAAAGTGTGCATGTGTGGTGTATTTCGACCTCCTGGCAAAACGCATTGGAACTTATTATGGGTGCTAATAACTTCACTTAATTGTTGACATCACTAGCTAAAACTGGGCTATTATCCATGATCCCAAATAGTTATATATAAAATTATTGAACCAATATGCCACAAATCCTGATTACAGGCTTCGTTTACAGACTAGCAAAATTACTGCAATCAAATTTATGCAAACCGAAAGGTGAAATGATAGAAAAAGACAAACCGAACATCATCAACTACGAGAAACAATCCATTGGATAAAGCGGCCGTCCTCTTCGAACTTCGTTTACATGAAGATCAATCAGCTATCGAACGCTACATGTCTTCACTTCTATAGAAAGATGTATGCGACCGCGGACACATTCGACTGGAAAAATTCTGAAATAGTAGAGATTTGTAGTGCCAGTGCATAAGTTTGGTCTTTCATCTTCTGAACAGGTTGGCTTAATTGTGAAGGTTTCACTATTCTTCTGAGCAACATCATCACAAGCTTCAGACAGAAGTAAACAGGACAATAAGGGTTTAAGCCAACCAACTCAGAAAACGAAACTCCAAGAATTTTAGGTTTTAGACAGCTAAGGTCCAACACGAAAAATACCAGAGAGTTATTAGAAGCTTGCCAACTAGGTCACGAACAAAGTGATCTCGAGTGTTTTTATAGGGATGTGAGCAGTTGTCACTTCCCAGCACTCATATCAGTCAGCAATCAATAAATATATGGAAATAATTGTTTTCTACCAACCAATCAGGAAAAGACTATGGAAATGGATAGGACATACATTACGCAAATCGTCGAACTGCATCACGAGACAAGCCCTAACTTGGAATCCTGAAGGGAAGCGGAAAAGAGGAAGGCCTAAGAACACATTACGTCGGATAATAGAAGCAGATATGAAAAGAATGAATAACAACTGGAAGGAGCTGGAAAGGATTGCCCAGGACAGGGTTGGATGGAGAATGCTGGTGAGCGGCCTATGCTCCTTCACGAGGAGTAACAGGCGTAAGTAAGTAATTAAGCAAGTAAGTAATCAGGGCATTCAGAAGCATGTAATAAGATCAAGAATCAGTTCATAGAGGGCTACAATCAACATAATCGTACAAGCAATAATAATATATGTTTTGAACAACACCTAATCATATTCAAGGTCGACAAAACAAGCTGCTGTTTGCTTATAGAGAGATTCTCATAGCTTACTTCTACAAAATGTTTGGGCTACTAAGTCCAGATAACCACTAGCTTTTGCATTTGGGTGAAGTTTATTTCATTTCTATATTGGTTCTTTGTATCTTTTCATTAGTGCCTAAGACTGCATTTGATCAATCCTTTGTTGGCATATTTGCATCTTGTGCGGATTGTCTCAAAGTTATAGACATTGTAAGCAGAGTTGGATGGTGGCTTGTAGTGGAATCCAGGACTCTCATTTCGTCCTATTTGAAACTCGTCAGCTGAATATACCTTCACTACTCAACACAAGCAATACAAGTGGATTAACTATAATGTTGTTTTACTTTCTCGCATTGTACTCCTGCTTTAATTATTTTGAAGATAATTGCATAAATTATCATTTCTTAGAACTGTCTGATGTTTTTTTTGTGTGGATAGATTTATTCAACCAATGGAAAGATGTGATGGTTTAATCACTGATTTGCTCACTGAATTACAACCAGATCCTTGGCCTGTACCTCAAGGTAAACGTCCTTTACGTTCAGTTGGTACAGCATTGAGTATCGCAGTTGGTTTATTAGAAGCTGCTTATCCTAATACTGGAGCTAGAGTTATGCTATTTCTTGGTGGTCCATGCACTCAAGGTCCTGGTATGGTAGTTGATGATGATTTAAAAAATGTTATACGTTCACATCATGATATGGAAAAAGATAATTGTAAATATATGCGAAGAGCAATGAAAGTATGTTCTTTTTTGTATTTTATAACTGTTCACTACTTGTTTCTTCCGATTTAACATTGTCCTATACGTTCAGAACATTGAAGTAGGTCCCCCAACTCTAGCAGAAGTTCAAAAGGCTATAGTTAATCTGAAACGAGGAAGGGCAGCTGGTCCAGATGGACTGGCTCCAGAGGTCTTTAAGGATGGTGGTCCAATTTTAGCGATTAGGTTGACTAATATTTTAGCTAGGATCTGGGAGTTAGACGTTAACCCATCTAACTGGTCACAATCACTTATCGTCCCAATATATAAGAAAGGGTCAAAATCATCCTGTGACAACCACAGAGGGATTAGTTTAACTAATATAATATCTAAAATACTAGCTTCGATAATTATCAGACGCCTAACTAAGACTCGTGAACTGCAAACACGAGAGACTCAAGCTGGATTCAGACCTGGTCGTGGCTACATCTATGAATTTAGTGATCATTTTGTTGTGCTAATGGGTGTGAAAACTTGGACCGATGCATATGTGTGCCTGGTCCTACGTTATAACTGACTGACTGACTGACTATGTCCAACCCGTTTCACTATGTATAACCAGTTAATTATTGTTAACCATCAGATTACAATTTTTTTAAAAAAAAGAATTAAACTCTTTCACATTGTTTCATTATAGCACTATGAAGGATTAGCTAATCGTGCTGCACAAAATCTTCATGTTGTTGATATATTCAGTTGTTCATTAGATCAAACTGGTTTACATGAATTACGTTATTTAACTAATTATACTGGTGGTCATATGATTATGGGTGATAGTTTTGCATCAAATTTATTTCAACAAACCTATCGTCGTGTATTCAATAAAGATGCATCTGGTTCATTTTTAATGGGATTAGCTGGTCAAATGGAAGTGAAGGTAAATATTGTCAAGTCATTATTATTATTATTATTTTTATGTTTATGATTAGTTTATCCTTCTTAAAATTGTCTTCAAGAGTAATTTTTAACCAACCTATTTGATTTATTGCTCAATGAATAAAGTGTTTATCACTGAAAGGAGTACCAAAGAAGTACATTAACCTTATAAGGGCTCTCGACTCGAACACAGCTGGTTGAGTGAGAGCTTATGGCAAACTGTCATCAGAATTGATTACCTTAAGTGGTGTTTGTTAGGGCTGTCCACTCTCCCCATTCTTGTTCAACTTTGTCATTGACGTACTTTTAGAGATAACACTCTCCTCATCTAAATTTACAGGGGTTGAACTTCTACCGGGAGGTTCACTTGTTGACTTAGAATATGCAGATGACATAGTTTTATTTGATGAAGACGCTGACAAAATGCAGAGTCTTCTGACCACTCTAAGCAACAATGCAAGCATGTTGGGGATGTGATTCTCCCCCTCGAAATGCAAAATGTTACTTCAGGATTGGGTTGCATCGACACCTGAACTAATGATAGGGAGTGAAGTAATTGAGCGTGTCGACCACTTCACTTATCTTGGGAGTCTCATCAACCCTTGTGGTGTGGTGTGTGACGAAATCTCAGCACGGATACAGAAGGCTCGACTAGCTTTTACCAACTTGCGTCATTTATGGCGTAGGCGAGTTATCCGTCTACCAACCAAAGGACAGGTCAACTGCGCAGCAGTTCGTTAGTGAAACTTCTTATGATGTCCATGTTAATATATGACACGAAACTATAAACGGACTAACTATTAATATTTGAAGGAGCTTTGATCATTTAAATCGTGGACTGGAAACTAGTTAATGCATGTATTATCCATCTTTCTCAAGTATTATGGTTTTGTGAACCACTTTAGTGTACTATACAAGCTCGGAAGTTGGATACTCTAATCACTTACCTTTTTTGATTTTCTCCACGAAATAAATAGCTGTCAATGTTTTACTTCTTAGTAAAAATCAAAAGTTCATCTACTATTATTAGCAAATTTGTTATATCATCTTTCTTATTCTTTCAAACTCATATTTCTACATATTTAGACATCAAAAGAACTGAAAGTGTCCGGTTGTATCGGACCATGTTTTTCAGCTAACGTTAAAATGCCTAATACTGGTGAACAGGAAGTTGGAATTGGTCGTACTTCTGTCTGGCGGTTAAACGGTTTCACTCCATCAACTACATTAGCCATTTATTTCGAAGTAGCTACTCCAACTAGTGGTGGTGGAGTACAAATACCTCCAGGTAGTAATGGTAGAGGTTATGTACAATTTGTTACACAATATCAACGTGCTAATGGTCAGCGTAAATTACGTGTCACAACAGTATGTCGTAATTGGATTGATTCAACTACACAATTGCCACATATGATATGTGGATTTGATCAAGAAGCGGCTACTGTACTGATTGCACGAATGGCAATGTTCAAAGCTGAAACAACAGACAGCGTTGATGTATTACGGTAAGTAATTATTAATTAACAGGTTCGTAACGATGAAGTTATTTTATTCTCTCATTATTTTATAGCTGAGAATCCAGGTCTCTAACCTACAAAAAATGAAGCTAGACCATCTTTCACTTGATTATTCTGGAGCCACTGTGTATGTGACTTGTTTAAGCTCTGAACGTATGTAAGAATTCCACTAAAAAGTCGTAAATTCGCCTTACTGTGTTCATTGTACAAGGAAATTCAAGGACTCAGATGAAGAAGCAAACACGAAGTGTAGAAACTCCCAAACATCTTGATTATTTAAAATTATGAAATTTTACTCAAGAATTAGTGTAGTGAGTTTTTGAGGACACTAGACCCTCACAACTTACTTGGTTAACGTCTTATTTTGGAAATTTAAATTTCTCGTTTTTGCGCCGAAGGCACCCTTTCGTTTTACTTTCGAATGGTATTTCCCATTTGGTGGAAGGACTCTAAATGTCATTGGTTGGTTGTCTCTTTTAGTGTGCTATTTTGGGACGTTTCCCAAGGATATTTTTAGGCTATATCTATACGTTTGAGTTGTTTGCTTGTTGTGGTCGTTGTGCTTTTGGCTGCTTGTGGAACATACTTTCATCATATGAACCTGGACTTTCCTCTCCCCTAGTTAGCGGGCCTAGGCCTCATTGGAATATTTTAGTTGTCTTGTCGTTGTATCGCTGGCCTTTCGTTCCATTCGCCGATTTTTAGGTGGTCTCGTAATCTCTTCAAACATAGAATGAGTATAAAACGCTTGCAAAATTATACAAACTGTAATAAGTTAACATTTGCCGAAATGTTATTTATCAGAGAGGTAAAGACTTACTTAGTATGTTGATGTATCATAACAACTTTTACATTGAATATATATTCGATAACTTTTCAAAATTTTGTTTATTATTTATTTAAACACAAACATTGGTACAAGGAGACACCAAATAGATATGCACCACATAAATCATTCGGTCTTTGTGAGGGCTGAAACACTGCCCGGGACCCCAAACCGAAGTAGGTGGTTCCCTTAGGGGGCCACGTCCAGAGCTTTTGACCTAAAGGTCTAATCCATAGGGCAGTGGAGCAACGTTAGGAGATGCAGTCGCATGGTAGCCGGTGACCAATAATTGGTTCATACGCCATGTGTTTCCTTGGGCTACTGGGACCAGCCCATGTGCATCATTGGTTTGGAATCAGGGTTTTCCAACTTCGCTAGGCGGACGCTCCGTACCCACCAACCCGGGTAACGCTTCGACATTCGCTTTTCGTCCTCACTTTCGTAAACAACAGTAATGCCGCGAGAAAGCAGTGAGTAGGACTTCTGGGGTAGTGGTTGTATGCATGAAACCATTTGAGAACATTTCAAGAGGGAGAGCTGATTCTCCCCATTCTCGACCGTACCAGGACATTCGGGGGCAGCTTTTTAAAAACAAGTATACTGTAAAATAGTTCGATTCGTCACTTTACTACTGTAAATCATAGTCATTGAAGATTTAAAAAGAACATGTGTATAGTCTACAAATATATACCATCGATTCGTAGTTATAAATTATCCATATTTTTTTCTATTCTTTTTTCTTATATCGCAGATGGTTGGATAGGCAACTAATTAAATTATGTCATAAATTCGGAGATTATCGTAAAGATGATCCAACTTCATTTCGATTACCTGGTGAATTCTCATTCTATCCTCAATTTATGTTTCATATGAGACGTTCACAATTTCTACAAGTTTTTAATAATAGTCCAGATGAAACAGCTTATTATCGGTAAGTAAATTATAAAGTGTTCACTTATCTTCACTTCACTTATCTTGGAAGTCTGATCAGCCCTAATGGGTTGGCGTCTGACGAAATCTCAGCACGGATTTGAAAAGCTCGTTTGGCTTTTGCCAAATTACGTCACCTATGGCGAAGGCGAGATATCCGTCTATCAATAAAAGGACGAGTATACTGCACGGCAGTTCGTTCTGTTTTAATTTACGACAGCGGAACATGGCCATTAAGAGTAGAAGATATTCATAAGTTACTAGTATTTGACCACAGATGCCTTTGAAATATTGCTGGCATCTGCTGGGTTCACCGGGTAAGTAATATTGAGGTTAGACGCAGGGTATTAGGGAATGATGATGGTAAATCAGTTGATGAGGTTGTGAATCTTCATCGACTGAGATGGTTGGGCCACGTGTTACGTATACCTGAACACTGATTACCACGACGTGCAATGCTAACCGGTGTCGGAGATGGTTGGAAGAAAGTTAAGGTCGGCCAAACCAAAACGTGGCATCTGTGCTTGAAGACACTAACTTCTACTCTGAGCCATGTTGGTAGATGCAGACTACTTGGTTGGTGTCCGCGTGACTATCGTAACCAGTGGTTGTAGACTCTTGGTGACATGGCTCAGAATCGGTCACAATGGCGTCGGTGTATGCACTCTCTGTCCTCCCTTAAACTATGAGATTAAAATCGCTTCATATCTTTCTTTCTACGAACTAATTCTTTCTTCTTGTACTATATCCTCATATGCGATCTTTCTTTTATATATTACCAACACTGAATTAACTACTTTTATGAATCCGGTGTTCATCTTTTTGTGTTAATGAGGAATGGCAACTTGGACCGATACATATATGTGCCTGGTTCTACGTTGTAACTGATTGATTGACTGACTGACTGACTGAAAGTGTTCTTGTCAATTGCGTTGTGGTAATTAACCTTCTACTTTTGCTAATATATGTAATTTACTAGAGAAAAGGACAACAGGAAATTAGTTACTTACATTCTAAGAAGACTCCTTGAAAAAGTATTTGGTTACTGATATAATGTAACCCGAAAACATAAGCAATTTGTAGGGAAAGTCTTGTAAGTGATAATCTATATTGTAGTGTCGGTTATAATGTTAAGCCCATGTACCTTATTCTAGCTTTCAGACAAACCAATCTATTCATTCTCTTTGATTCACATTTTGACCGTGTCAATTATATGCTTATCAATCTTGACTGCTTTTATATCAGCTTATGTGTGTACACTACTTATCCTATTCATCACATACCTGTAGCTTATTTTTGTGTGACTATAAATATTTATTAACGCTTCGTTAAATAGAGTTGGCTCACATGCCTTCTCCACTGTGGGTCATTTCGCTTCGCTCTCTTGTCTTCGCTTCATTCCCTGATTGCCTGTTCAAACCAATGAGTGCATGAAATATACATACTCGAAATCTATTCTCGTATTTGGCGTATTTAATTCCTTTATTCCCTAACGCAATCTAAGTCGATAATTATATACGAGAAATGACAATATGTATATTACAATACCAATCAGATACGATCAAACTTGAGTCAGATCCTGGGCTACTATAGTGGTGAACCCGTCAAAAACATTTTGCGGTCTAATTGACGTCAAAATGAAGGGCCCCACTATAATGTGTTAATGATGTCGTTCGGAAGAACAATTAAAATTCCACGACCAAACCATCCAGTTCACAGTATAAAACTTCATCAAAATTATCCACATAAACTACAAATCTTCTCCATCATCTGTATATATAATTCAGCTAGTCTTTATCAGTATCACAAACTTTAATCAGCTTAGAAGTGTTTGATTAACGATTATGATGAATGAATGTATATATGGACTAATCTCCTGGAAACTACAACAATGGCGTCGGTGTATACACTCCCTGTCTTTCCTTAAACTAAGAGACTAAAATCACTTCATTCTTTCTGTCTACGAACTAATTCTTTCTTCCTATACTATATCCTTATTGCAACCTTTGACCTAACCACTCCTATGAATCCGGTGTTCATCTTGCTGTGCTAATGAGGTATGGCAACCTGGACCGATGCACATATGTGCCTGGTCCTACGTTGTAGCTGACTGACTGTTTTTTAAAAAATTTTTGTTTTAATAAATTATTCTATATAACTCTGTCCTTCTCTTTATTAATTTTGTTTCTAGTCATGTTTTAAATAAAGAAGATTGTTCTAATTCATTATTAATGATACAACCATCATTGACATCATTCAATTTAGATGGAAGTGAAGAACCAGTTTTATTGGATTCTAGTAGTATACAACCAGAACGTGTATTATTAATGGATAGCTTTTTCTTAATTCTTATTTATGAAGGTGATACCATTGCTAAATGGAAGAAAGCTGGCTATCTGGTTAGATAATTTGTTAGATTTTTTTTGTTGTATCGATGGTAGAATTGTGTTTGTATTATTATGATGAATGTTTTTTTTTATGTCATAACAACTGAATTTTTTATAACATGAACCATTATGTTGTCTGTAGTGTGTGTTAGGTGGTGGACTGAGTCATGTGGGTAGGTGTAGACTACCTTGTTGGAATCCACGAGATGATAGCAACCGATGATTAGAGACCTTGAATGACATGGCACAAAATTGTTTGCAGTGGTACGGGTGCATCTACTCATTGTGTTCTTCTGAATTCTTCATGTCCGCCAATTTGTCTATTTCCAAATTTATTTCATTGGATTATACTCTTTGAATAACATCTTCAAACCCTAATCTTTCCGATTACTGCTTATACTCTTACTACCTCTACCACCATCACGGGATTTGAATCGACAGCTACATTTCTGTGCTATTAAGGTATAGCAACTCGAACTGATGTATGTACGTACGAAGTTCTACGTTGTTATTGACTGACTGAGATATACTCCAATGAATCCGTAAATTAAATATTGTACCGATTGCTGACTGCTTTTACACTTCATAAATCTTAAACATTGTCAAAAAGTCATATGCAACATAGGATTTGGCACACCTGTCCATCATTTCAAGTTGCCGCGCCATATCAACATAACTAAATGAAATTATTAATGCAAATCACATAGTCAGTCGAAACATCGCCTACTCCACAAATGACGGAGGTTGGCATAAGCCAGTAGAGCCTCCCAAACCCGTGCCGACATCAGGACTGATGAGACATACAAGATAATTAGGTCGATTGATACACTCAGCTGTTTCATTCCCTATCATTTATTAGGAAGTCAACGCAAGTCATTCCTGAAGCAACATTCTGTACTCCGATCAAGAGAGTTGTATCCCAAACATGTTTGGATTGTTGGTCAATGTGATCAGAAAACTCTGGATTTCATTAGCGTCTTCATCAAACTGAGTATTAGGAATAGTAACAGTATCAGCGGTAATAAGAAAGATTAAATATAGACAGTATATTTCTAAACGAGAGGATGATTTCGTGGAATAGAAAAGTATAAGATTATTTTCAAATTAAAGATCTCGGAGGAAACAAAGAGTGAAAACATATACACAATTGTTACGGATTCCGTACCATGTCACACATCGTCTCTCAACCACTGGTTAAGATAATCATGCAGACCACAACCAGATAGTTTGGATCTGCACAGACGGGTTAGTCCAACAGTCAGTGACTTTGCAGATTGATGCTATATCTTGGTTTTCCCGTCTTTAACTTTTGTTTTTCAAACTGGTGTTGCACCGGCAAATAGCTAAAAGTATACACATATAAATACGTATAGTAAACCTACAGATGTAAGTAGTATGTTGAGACATTCTCTTAAAGAGCTTATTTATCAACGGGGACTGATAAAACACTTCTGACTATGAATAACTCGAAAATCCAAATGAATGTGAAAAATAGTTAATACTATATCCATTGAACAAATTAGTGATGATCATGGTTACGATAATCGTTCAGACTACAACCAGATAGTCTGGATCTGCATACATGGATCTGTCCAATTGTCATTGAGTTCATGGGCTGATGTTTGGTCATTCGTAGTTTTCTTCTAATGTCCTTCTTCATGGTATATCATTCCTGATTATTTCAAATTTTGTTATATTTTTTGAGTATGTATATACATATTAACATATATCTGTATTCTTTCATTGTTTACTATAGGATATGCCTGAATATGCACATATTAAACAAATTCTAGATAAGCCTAGATATGAAGCACAAGAATTATTAAAAACACGTTTTCCAGTATCACGTTATGTTGAAACAGAACATGATGGTAGTCAAGCACGATTTTTATTATCGAAAGTTAATCCATCATTAACACATCATACAATGTATTCATTTGGTCAGGTAATTAATTTCATACTCTTTTTTTGGTTCTACTTTTATTCGCTCCTCCCCCCCCCCCGAAAAAAGTGTACTGATCTAGTTTGAGTTAGATTGGATAAAATATGTATTGGTCTACAAACTAACCATTTAAATTATCAGTATAGGGTTGTGGAGATTATTAAGTTCTTGATAAAGATCATGAACCGATTGATATTAGACCTCAATTGAAAACCTGGATGCACTGAACGGCCATTTCGTCTTATTATGGGACTCAGCAGTGCACATCCACGATTTCGCGCTCAAACGCTTAACCTCTAGACCAGATCATTGAGCCGGCATCTAACGGCGTTAATGTCTAACCTCAACCAATCCACGAAATTGCGCGACCATCTTTCATTGTACTAAGGTAGATATCTGTCTCTGCTTGATACGGATTAGCTCCACTGGTCACGATCTAACATCAATCGGTTCAGGATCTTAATCAATATCCATTTAAAATCCCAAAGAAGGAAATGATGTAATGGAAAACTAGTTACTCATGAGTAATACGATTATAATAAATAAATTTCGCATAAAATTATCTCTTAATTTAACCTTTAAAACCTAATAAGCGATCATCTTTATTTTTGTAAAAATAGATCTCGACCTAACTATATAGTTCATAACAATGAATTTGAATAGAAAAGGTGTAGTATCCAATGTTTCTAGTTAAGTTTACGTCAATGTTCATTTAAATAAGGAAAAAAAATATCAGAAGGGGTTTTTTTGTGGATACTGTAGTAATTCCAATGATTGAAATCATGAGTAGTCAACTGAAACTAGACCAGCATGGAAAACTTGGAAGCATTGGACGACTGTCTCGCCCTGTTATGGGACTCCTCAGTGGTAGTGTGCATCCACGATTCCATGCCTCGAGATTCGAACCCAGGACCTATCAGTTTCGATGCGCACTGCTGAGAAGACGGAACGCCCATCCAGTGCTTCCAGGTTTTCCATAGTGGTCTAGCTACAGCTGACTTATAATCTCTACCTTTGAAAAAAAAATAGACAGAAAGTCTGATGAATCAATCGTAGACGACGAATAATCGTTCAAATAAAATATTACTGGCGAGACTATAATTTATGATCGAACTAATCTGATAGAAGATAACAGGTCTCGGATTTTAACACGAGGTTCACTCATCATCCATTTGGATAAATAGAGTTTTGACATTTTAGCTGATATCAGTTTGTGATGAAAACTCGAAATCTAATTCCTAACCTCAAACCATCAACTATAAATCATAATCCAAATTCCACACACTCGTCCTAGTTATCAAGTGGACATTCTCAAAGTTAGTTTAGTGTCACTCAAAGATCATCCATAAATTATAGTCTCACCGTGTTACTTTATCACTTTTTTATTGTTTGAAGTTTATTCTTTCATAAAATGTATTTTATTATGCCGTTCATAATACTGATATATTACTGAACAAGTTTCCCTTGTACCAATCTATCTATAAGATGCATGCTTTAAAAATAAAATGAAACTCTTCACTATACCTGCTTTACTTATTTAGTGTCAAGTAGATGTAAGTATTTCTTTTTGCAATAAAAATGTTGGTCTCGGTGTGTGTGTGTGTGTGTGTTTGCTTTTTACTATGCTTTTACTATATGCAAACTTCCAATATTGACGTGTCATGATTATTAATGAAATGCTTTGATTCACAAAAGGGGAACAAAAAGATTACTGAATGTTGTTCCATTTTAGTAGTAAATGCTTAAATAGCTCAATACATACATTAGTCTAATTGATTCGATACTTGCGTATACAATATTGTAGTGCTAGACAGTTTTAGGTGTAGTCCAAAGGAAACTTGAGACCTAGATTTCTCTGACTATGAAACCGGATGACTCAAATTCGAATCCTACTGGAATCAACAGTTCCCTTAAGATTGTAAGTGCGTCTTAGTGATAAGCGCCAAGTAGCATGAAACCTAAGTTAAGAGTTGTTCTCGAACTTCTTCCAACTACCTAAAATCTAAACTTAGTGTGGATGCTCTATCGAGTCACATAGACTAGTGATCACATCAATTCAAAACCCTGATCTATGTATGTACACCCTGAAATACTTGATTAATCGATTTACTGGCCTGTTTATCAGGCGTGTACATGTTTTAATTTACGAATATAATGTTTCTGTTGATAAAATCAATCGGTATCCCACACTTATGAATTTGCAAAATAGTCATAATAACAGCTAGGGAACATTACTAAAACGGAATATAAAACTCAACATTTATTCTGTCTTTGTTTAGCACACTTATCAAGAATAATCAGTTAGTCAGCTACAACGTAGGACCAGGCACATATATACATCGGTCCAAGTTGCCATTCCTCATTAACACAAAAAGATAAACACCGGATTCATAAAAGTAGTTAATTTAGTGGTGGTAATATATAAAAGAAAGATTGCAATAAGAATATAATACAAGAAGAAAGAATTAGTTAGTAGAAAGATATGAAGTGATTTTAATCTCTTAGTTTAAGAGAGGACAGCCATTGTGATCGATTCTGAGCCATGTCACCAAGAGTCTCCAACCATTGGTTACGATAGTCACGCGGACACCAACCAAGTAGTCTGCATCTCCTAACATGGCTCAGACTAGAAGTTAGTGTCTTCAAGCACTGATGCTACGTTTTGGTTTGGCCGCCCCTAACTTTCTTCCAACCATCTCCGACACCGGTTAGCATTGCACGTCGTGGTAATCAGTGTTCACGTATACGTAACACGTGGCCCAACCATCTCAGTCGATGAAGATTCACAACCTCATCAACTGATTTAGCATCATTCCCTAATACCCTTTGTCTAACCTCAATATTACTTACCCGGTGAACCCAGCAGATGCGAGCAATATTTCAAAGGCATCTGTGGTCAAATACTAGTAACTTATGAATATCTTCTACTCTTAATGGCCATGTTCCGCTGCTGTAAATTAAAACAGAACGGACTGCCGTGCAGTATACTCGTCCTTTTATTGATAGACGGATATCTCGTCTTCGCCATAGGTGACGTATGTTGGCAAAAGCCAAACGAGCTTTTCGAATCCGTGCTGAGATTTTGTCAGACACCAACCCATTAGGGCTGATCAGACTTCCAAGATAAGTAAATTTGTCAACGCGTTCGACTACTTCACTCCCTATCCTTAGTTCAGGTGTTGACGCAGACCAGTCCTGAAGCAACAACTTGCATTTAGAGGGAGAGAAGTGCATTCCAAACATTCTTGCATTGTTACTTAGTGCTACCAGAAGACTCTGCATTTTTTCAGCGTCCTCACCAAATAAGACTATGCCATCTGCGTATTCTAAGCCGATAAGTGGACATCCTGGAAGGAAATCAGTACCCGAGGATTCAGTCGACGAAAATGTTGTTACCATCAGTAGTTCGATGATGAAGTTAAACGAAAATGGAGAAAGTGGACAGCTTTGACGGACACCACTTGAGGTTGCAAAAGTAGATGACAGTTCGCCATAAGCTCCGACTCGACTGGTAGTGTTCGAGTAAAGAGCCTTCACAAGGGTTATGTACTTCTGGGGTACGCCTTTCAATGACAGACACTGGCACAGAATCTCGCGGTCTACCGAGTCAAATGCTGCTTTTAAGTCAACAAAGACCAGGATCAAGAATATGTTTACTGTTGACACTACATGGAATCCAACTAAAAACTATGTGAGATCTTAAAGTGATAGAGTACACTTGTAGCTCAACATTCAAAATTTGAAGAATTGAACCATCTGCCAGTCAATCATGAAAACATTTTACTAGCCCAATTTTCAGAAATTTATGATGGTATGCTGACGTTATTTAGAAAAGGAATGAAAACTTCATCACAAAAACACTCATCGCTGAGAATATAACACCTCTAAAAACTAGGTATCCCGTCAACCATAATACCTCTTAACTACTGACTTGGCCCACTTCTTGAACTCTAGTCAAACCGCTACACAGAGTAAACATCATCTAACGTCATGTATCTTTGTGGTCACTTTACACATTATTTAACTTTACAGATAAATTGGCTTCTCAAGTTTGGGGATTCGTAGAGATTGTAGTATTTTCACAGTTGAAATCACGAGCCAATTTAAGCTAGACCACTATTGAAAACCTAAAACCACTGGAAAGCCGTTTCGTCCTAGTACGGGACTCCTCAACGGTGCGCATCTACGATCCTGCACGCGTGACCAGTGGCGTTCAATCAGCGTCGTGCGAAACAGTTATCCATCATGGCAGTGGATGAAGGGTTATATAAGATCATGGGTCGATCGAAGTCAGAAATTGACACTGTTAGATGCCTGCTCAGTAGTCTAGAGGCTAAGGGTTCGCGCGCAAAATCAGAGGCCCTGGGTTCGAGTCCGTTTGGTGCAGGATAGCGGGTGTGCACTGCTGATGAGTCTCATGCTAGGACGGAACAGCCGTCCAGCCCTTGCAGGTTTCTAATAGTGGTCTACGTGAGATTGGCTCGTGAATTAAACTTTGGAAACTAGATTTTGACAACAACTTTAAAAATCCATTCCAGATTGCTATTGATTAGTACGCGTATGATGTTTGCAATCCACCAAACTGGGCTTTTGATAGTTGTTCACTTTTAAGATTCTCATGAAGACCGCCATTTGTCATAAATTCACGAAAGCTTTAGTAGTTTAGACGGCTTGTGTAGAGCTCAACTTGACTTGATATTTATAAGTTAAATTATGTAACATTCCTCAAGATAATATTTACACCATCAATTGCTCTAATCAGCAGTGAAAGGTTAGTCAACCTTCATTGCTGGTTGAGAATCTGTGGTAATTTATTTATATATCATATGTGACACTCAACAATGTTCTTCCGATATCAACATGTATTGTTCATGAGTGTTTCGCAGTGTAATCGAACGACATAGTGCGATTGGTTCTAATCTGTAATTTTATAGAAGACCTATCAGTTCCCACACTTCTTTTTTTCTAGTCATTTCAATGTTTTGTGACTTTTATCAAATATTTTGTGTGTTCGCACCCTTGAATTTTATTCCTTTTGCACTCTAGAATAATCGTCTTAATAATAATAAGTAGGGTCTAACTCCCTTTTGTTTCCGTCTCCATCATTTGTTTACGTGCACTTTGTATTTGTAAGATTTTTGTGTACTCACATTATCACTTGTAATCGGTAAGTTAAACATGAATTATGTTTGTTAGTCATAATCCCTATTACACTAAATCATGATATCTCATGTAGGAGTGTAAAGAAGCTGTCGTGGAATAACCGGGGTTTTCTTTATATGGAAAGTCAAACTTTGTCATTGATATCAGTCAGTCAGTAACAACGTAGAACTTCGTACGTACGTACATCAGTTCGAGTTGCCACACCACATTAGCACAGAGATGCAGTTGTCAATGCAAATCCATATGTGTAAGCAGTAATCGGAACGATTAGGGCTTGAAGATGTTGTTCAAGAAGTATAATTCAGTGAAATAAATTTGAAAGGAAAACAAGAGACATTAAGATTTCAGAATTTGGGAGAACATAAAGAGTAGATGTACATGCGCCATTGTGAACGATTTTGCGCCATGTCATTCAAGGTCTCTAACCGTCAGTTGCTATCATCACGCGGTCCCCAACCAGATAGTCTACACCTACCAACATGGCTCAGTCCACTTGTCACTGACTTCATGGACTTGTGTAGTGTTTTGGTGTGACTTCCCCTATCTTTCTTCCAATCTGCTCCTACACCAGAAAACATCGCACGTCGAGGCAGTCGGTGGTTGGGCATATGATATAAAATATATTATTCCATGTTTTCCAATGATTTCATTTCTAATGATTTTCGACAGATTCATGAAAGACCATCTATAAGTATATGTTAAGTAGATTGTATAATAACTTATACTTCCATATTGTCTTTGTGTCAACAAAGTTAGCAATCCTTCTTCTATAAAACAGGAATAAAAGTGTTTAATTTGTATTAACTGGACTAAGAAATGAATGCAAAATAGTTCATAGTAAATCTATGAATACTCCTTGACAATTAATCACTGAAAATACACTTTTTGATGAGCTAGAAAAATTTGTGGCACATGATTCAGGAAGGGAATAAATCATTTCCGAAACATAAGCATATACTAGGAACGAAAGGTGAATCGCTAAGATGAAAACTTACGTTTTAGTATTTGCCGTGGTACGGCCGAGAGTGGGGAGAATCCGCTCTCCCTCTCGAAATGCTCTCATATGGCCACGCGTATACAGCCTCTGCCAGCGAAGTCCTACTCACACCATGGGTGTTGTTTACGAAATTGAGAGAACGAAAATCGAACGTCCGGTGCTTTAACCGGGTTCGTGGATATGGAGAGTTCACCTAGGGGAGTTGGGAAACCCTCATTCCAAACCAATGGTGCACATGGGCTCCAGTATCCTGTAGGAACAAATGGCGTATGAACCAGTCGTTGGTCACCAGCTACCATGGGACTGCATCTCCCTACGTTGCTCCACTGCCTTGCGGATCAGACCTTTAGGTCGAAGGGGATTGCCCCCCTAAGAAAACCACCTGCTTTGGTTTGGGCAGTATCACAGCCCTCACACATATCGAATGAGATTTGTGTGGCGCATATGTATTTGGTGCCTCCTTGTACCAATATCTATGTGTTAAAATAAATAATAAATCATAATGGTCGGGGAATAATGCGAATCGACTTAAGCTTATATAAACCAGCAGAATCTCAAAGCTAACATCTAGAGGTTCTACATTCGACTCCTGATGAGGTTGTAAGTACAAAGTTTTGAGGACGTAACAGTTGCCCAGTACTTTTCAGTTTTCAATGATTATTTAACTCAGGTCACAGTGTATGATACAAAACTAGGGAAATCGGCAATCTTCTCAACCCCCTGTACTGAAAACAGTATATCAATAGGCTGAAATTGTATTTTTGTTATATTGCATTTTTCTATAATCAATCTGTTTACTACTGTTTCTACAATTCATTCATAATTGTATCCCTATTATAAAATTGTAATTTTAGGATTCCGGTAGTGCAGTACTAACAGACGATGTATCACTTCAAGGTTTTATGGAACATTTAAAAAAATTAGCTGTTTCTAGTTCTGCATAGATTGTGATGAAATGAATAGACTAGTATTGTGCAACATTTTCATGATGTGATATTGATGAAAAACACCAATGACAGTAATCGAAAATTCAATAGCATCTACTACTCATCGTATATATTATAAGTAATTGCTTCCTATATACATATACATATATATATCTACAATTACCGTTTCCCCTTTTATTCATTTCTACTTTCTCTCGTTAATTTTGGTTGCAATTTTTTTCCAGTAATAATTTCTACTTTTATTTATTCTTGATTTCGATTCATGTGTGTTGAGAAAATTGTTGTTGTTTCCTCACTCAATTTTAAGTGGAAACCAACGTTTCTAATGAGCACATACAAGTACGTGTGTGTGTGTGTCTATGTGTGCGTTTCTCAATCCATTCGTTTATTCAACTTGTAAATGAGTTGTTTTATGCAATGAATTGTATCCATTTACAGAGATCTTCGGTATTATAAATAGTTATCTTCTATATATATATATGGGATGTTTGTTTGAAATAAAATGCTTTTACAAATAAATTAAATTGTCTGTCCTAGTAAATTCATAGTGTACAAATCACAGTTAAAATATTAGACCTAAAAGAACTTTTGTGGAGTTCAGGAAAAACTTCATAATTAAGTTCAGTTGAGTCCGAGTCCAAGAGTGGACATCAACTCTGAGATGTAGGTACATCCAGCTGACCAGTCCCAAATAGGACAAGATGCCCATCAAACTGCATTCTACTGTTAGCTACTATCCATCTTTACATATAAAACTTAATACTGTTGTGTATCCTGGAACATCTAAATTATTGTATGTCCTTAACACAATTATAGGTTCACTTTAGCTGGATATATTTCATACACATAGTTCCCTTTATTATTTTAAAGAGAACAAGAACAAAGATTGGTGCAGAATAATACATGAATTCATTTTATTTCGTTAGCTTCTCATCAGCTGCTTACAACCTAAATTATTTGAAAATCAACATTATTATAGATAATGACATACTTATACAACAGAGGGTAATGAAGGATGAATATATGTAACATAATGTGGTAAAGATTTCGTTAGAGTGATTGAGGTCATAAAATTTTTGTTTCGAATATATAGAGTTTGGGAGGGAAGGTTCCAGAACATTGAAATAATGATTAGAAATCATGGAATCAAAACACATTAGACGATTATGTAATGAAGTAACTGAAAATAGATTAATGTTAATAAAGAGAGATATGAATTGAAATTGGTCAGTTATGAGTGATGTAATTATAAAATTCAGAGAGTTGGAATGACGTAATAAAAATAAAAGGCGGTGGGGTGAATGTTACCAGGGCAAAGAAGGATTTATTACTGTTTCTTTTTGTATACAAAGATCTGGTTTTAAACGTTTGATTGCTATTGCTTCGGCGAATTTCAAAAGGTTTGAATTTGATTGTTTGTTGATCACCTTGAAGGACTTCAGTATATCGACTTCGTGTCCTGTGTCAAGAAAATGTCTTGTGACAGCGCTGCTAAATGCTTTTAGTCCGTTTGATCTCAAACTGTTCGGAATATGTTCTTTGAATCGGACATAGGCTCTCCTTTCAAGTCAATAAACTTGAAGACATTTCGAGATTATTCTGTTCAGTAATGGATCGTTAGTTCACCTTTTCTGCATTCATGTTCAGATCTTGTTTTTTATTATGTAACTTAGATTCGTTAAGTAATTTCAACTAAAGATCCCTTGGTATCTTCAAAACACTAACAGAATCTAATAAATTAAACGAACTTTAGGATATTAGAACAAGCAATGGTACGGTTGGAAATTCGATGTTCAACCTCAAAGTGTTTTCGTCCAATATTCTGAACAAACTTCGCGATTAAGGGAAGTGTTTCGTTTGTTGTCACACTTCGTAGTCTTTGCTAGGATTTAAAGGATAATTTGATTAACCAAAATAGACTACAAGAGAGCCTGAAGTAATGAACACCTTAACCTAGATTGACTTAACTAGTTCATTTTACTCCTCGAAGTTGTGTTTGGTCCGCTGCTAATTACATATTTATTTGATTTGAGCAATCGCATAGTGCAATATGCCTTTATACACTACCTATATACTAGTACAGTGCCAAAAGACAAGTCTTTAGGAAAACGTTCTAAACATTTCAGATACTCAACAAGTTTCTTATAAACATAATACTGCGATTAGCTCAAGGAAACCAGTTATAACTGGTTGTGAGTTGAACCAACGGAGTACCCCATTTATACTATAATAAATGAGTGCTCAACAACAACTTACGGCATATTTCGACTTCCAAAAACATTGCTTGTGTTTGGGACCCAGTCCGATTTATAAACTACTAGATGCTAGCGGGAGGTGTTGAGAAAGTCAGAATTATACTACTTACAACATCCAATAGTCTTAAATGTGAATTTAATTGTCATGAATTAAGTCTGAGTCAAATGTTAACGTTATTAGAGCTTGGTAACTTGTTATGGAGTATGTGAATATATAAGGTCACATTTTATTTCTGGCAAAAGTTACCACACTGACAGAAGTCAACACAACTGTGCAACGTATTTACATATATTCTATAATTCAAATACATTTGAGGATTCCAGCGACTTATAAATGCTCGGGAAGGCGTTCCAAACGATGCTAAAATTATAAACCAAAAAAGAAGTTTACTATTGGCGTTTGTTGAAACAATAATTATAAAATCACTAAATGAATAACTGTGAGTCGGTTGCATGAGAAAAATATACAATCTATGGAGCTGTTTTTGATTCACATTTACTAAAACGAATAGAAAGATACTTATGAATTGTCACAAGAGTGAATGCATCTGGATCATTACAACTGATCTTAAGTAGTATCAATTATAGCTTAATGAAGGTTGATTTTCATCTATTTTTAATCACACTTCACTCATATGTGAAATCTATCAAAAAAGGAAAACAAATGCATGGAGGAAATACAGTACGAAAAACGATCAAGATGGGAGATGAATTGCATAAAATTACACAACTACAGGCTCCACTGACATTGTTTATCCTCATGTCTAGAGGAAGCATAAATAAACTGGCACCAAGAAAACTGTCCTGAGACTAGACTCGCAAACATGACGGGAGGCGAAATACGGACACATCTACATTTTCGTTATTGCTAAAAACTTCTATGGAAGAAAATGCTGAAGTCAACATATCTCCTTAAATATTAGAGCGACTTTGACTTGAAATATTCATGCACAATCGAGGCTTAGAATGCTGTTTCTTATTCACTTTACTTACAATATTTCCGGGAAAGCAAGTAGTTTAAAAGGCTTTTCACATTGTTTAGGCGATTAGCATACAAAAACATGTCGGAAAAGTTGCTTGTGGTTTGTCACAAAAGCCTTGTTTTAGTAATTTGCATACATTATAAACCTTATGGATTAAGATGATGCCGGGAATTTCTCTGTCTGTAACACATTCATGATTATGATTTTCGTCATTACAATTATCAGAATACTATGGATTTATTCACATAAATCAAATGAACTTTAATTATCTAAACTGGCACTTTGTTAGAAACTATTACTGGAAAAGCAAGAGCGAACTGTGGAAAATTTATGTAGGGCTAACTAGAGCAGTTCAAACAAACTTAACAAGTTTTTATGAATTCATAGAATGCCTCAGGTTTTACCTACATTTAATAACTGTTGCTCGACAACATTCCTTCCAAATTTGGTATGGCACTGTCTGCATAAAAACATGATCTCTTCCAACAAAGATGCTGCTGATTTTTGGTTAGTTTTTTAGAAACAAAATATCTAAAAACTACCCTAATGGTAGACATTACTATTAGAATAGTACCAAAGGTAAGATTCATTCACAATTCATTTTGACATAAAATTAATGCTCAAAAATGTTTCATATGAAAACGTTTTTTAAATGTAACGCAGTACTATATTATAAATCTCAGCAGTAGGCGCTGTGCTGAACTGCTTGAGACGGTGAGTAGTGTAGACATTCGATAGAGTTTGTCTTACCTTTACAACTTCCATAGCTACACCCTCGGGTAGATTTCTTTGGATATATTCCAGAAATACGTCAGCAGTACATCCTGTTATGTGATCAACCTAAATGGCATCATAACAATATAAAATCACTTACTGTGAAGTATTTGTAGTGTGTGCGAAACTCATACTGGCGTTGCTGTTTCTTGTAAATAAACGGTGATTTGTTCATGGACAAGCGAAAAAACGTCGGTCGGTTACGAGTCTCACTTATTAATAATTCTATTTAGAAATCCTACATTACCTTATAAGAGCTATAGAGAGATTATCACAAACTTGTTTGACAAAAGTCTCGTAACTTTTTAGCACCATTGGCTCATGACCCTTAACGGTAATAACTAGCTTTTTGTACAACACATCCTGTTCTTGAATTTCTGACCCCTGTAGTTTATTAAAGAAACATAAAAAAATTAACTACTTCACGCATATAGTCGCCTGAATTGAATACGCCTACGGAAGATGCCGAAGTTTTTTGAAGGTGTTGAACTGAGCCGGTATGACACCAAACAGGGAAATCTTAATTTTATATGGTTTAAAATATAAAACCTTACATAAACCCCTGAGTAACCCCATCTTCATAAATACCGCCAACTAAATTCTGTAGTAGGATTCAAATGGTTGTGGACGGAATAGAAAAAGCTTTCGCTTAACAGGCTTCCGTGTCTAGTAGCAGGGGATCACCAAATCCCCCAGGCGGGAACTTAGGTATGTTAACAATAAAAGAAGAAAAGAAATTAGTAAATCATAGTGTGATGCTATCCTTAGTCCTTAACAAGAGATCAAGTTGCCTCTTAAAGAATTCCTGGGAAGTTGCTTGGACTAGCTCGCTCGGCAGCGTATTCCAGCGTTTGACAACTCTTAAAGAGTGGAAGTTGTGTCTACAGTCCGTTCTGCTATGTTGTGTCTCCAGTTTTTTGATGTTACCTCTTAGGTTAGTGTTGGAACTAAGCTTAAGTAGGTGTTTGAGAGGATGTCCAGAAGTGTTAAGGATACTATAAGCCATTAATAAATCACCTCTAAGACGCCTATACTCTAATGGGTAAGGGTTAAGTGAATGGAGGCGCTCTTCGTAAAGTTTAAATTTGAGTCCTCGAACTGATTTCGTGGCTCGCCGTTGGATACGCTCCAGGGTGTCCTTATCCTTTTGGAATGAGGGAGGAAAAACTATGTTTCCGTATTCTAAATGGGGACGGATAAAACTATTGAAGATTATATGGAAAGTTATTCCGTCAAACTGGCCAAAAATGCGCTTCAATGTTACCAGTGCAAGGTTTGCTCGGAAGGCATTTTTGTGACAGTTAGCGTAAGACTTTAAATCGTAGGGCACCAGGACTCCTAAATCTTTTTCGACTTGGGATACTACTAGAGAGGAGTTACCTAAGTTATAACTGTAGTCTGAGACATGTCACAGATGGATTACTTTACACTTTGAAGTGTTAAAGGTAAGTCCGTTATCGTCTGCCCAACTTTGAAGTCGAGTCAGATCCTCCTGAAGTGCCTGTATATCGTCTTGGTCCCGTATCTCTCTCCAAAGTTTCACGTTGTCGGCAAAAAGTAATAAGTCTGACGTTGCCTGTTGAGGAAGATCATTTATGTAGATCAAGAAGAGAAGAGGCCCTAGTACTGAGCCCTGGGGGACCCCACTATGACATTCCATAGCCTGAGATGAAGTGAAATTAACCCTAACCTTAAAGTGTCGATTTTTTAGGTATGAAGTAAGCCAATCGATCAGAGGTGGTTTGATACCTAGTCGTTTGAGCTTATTGGTAAGACACAAGTGGTTAACCTTATCAAAAGCTTTAGAGAAATCAAGGTAAATGATATCAACCTTTCCCTTGCGATCGAGGATGCTTGTCCATCTGTCAACCGCAGTCAGCAGGTTGGTTATACAAGAGTAACCCTTCCTGAAACCATGCTGTTGGGGTGAGAAGAAATTTAAGGACAGTAGATAGTCGTTTAAACCGTCGCATATCAGGGACTCCATGAGTTTTGAAGGTAATGACAGAAGAGCCACCGACCGATAACTTGAAGGTTCACTGCGTCGACCTCCTTTGAAAATTGGTATGATGTGAGCCAACTTCCAATTTTCCGGTAATTTGCCTCGGCTTAGCGAGTGTGAAAACATCCCGCTAAGCGGCGTCGCCAGGATTGAGGCTGCCTCCCTCAGTATGGCAGGATGAACCATATCCGGGCCAGGAGAAGTGTCTTATCTTAAGTGCTGCAGTTTCCGGAACACCAAGTCAGCGCTTAGGTTCACTTCGGAAAGTTCTGTGGAATTGCAGACGAAACTGTCATCAGTAAAGTTAATGTCGGTCGGTTGAAATGTCTGGGAGTAATGTTCAGCCAGAAGGTTAGCGGCGTCGCCATCGTTGTTGGTCGGGCCGTTAAGACCTACCAGTTGGGAAACTCCAGTTTCGGCTTGACGTAGAGTGGCTGCATAACGGAATAATTTTTTAGGATTGGAGGCAAATTTGTCCATAAGCTTTGTCCGGTACTGAAGCCTATCTTCTCTTATAGCCTTCATGCATGTGTTCCTGATATATTTATACTGCCTGTACGCTCCGTCGTTGTCAGTTCGTTTATATTCCAACAGTGCCTTTTGCGGCTTAGCAGGCGAAAGGTACGGTTCTTTATTATTGTGGGTGGTTTGCAGCTTTTGGGAACCGTTTGAGGAACTGAATGGTTTGTAGCACGTAAGAGCGTGTGCAGTAAGAAGTCCCAATGACCGTCCACGTCGAGTTGTGGATGAGAAGGCCTACGGTCTATGTTATTCCAATTCCAGTATGCTTCTGTGAGTGTCTATTTTTTCTCGAGTTTTTTCATTTTAAGATGCAGATACCACCACTTCGGGTAACAGATTCCAAGAATTGATGACTCAGTTTCAAAACCTCTATGGCACTGGTATTTTGTTCGCTCTCGGCTTTTCTACTCGCCTGCTATATCCTCTGAAATTTTTTGATCTGATTAGAAGAAAAAGGGTATATTTGATGTCCAAAATTGTCTGCTAGCGTTGAATACATCACAAAACAGATCACCTCTTAATCTGCGGTAGTATAGGGTAAAGAGGTCTAGCTTTTCAAGCAGCTCTTTGCATGATAAATCCCATAGTTTCGAAACTGAACAAGTACCTGCCTTCTTTACTTTTTCCAGGATATCCGATTCACTTGAACAAGAGCTCTCAGCCTGAATGCATTTCTCAAATTTTGTTCCCACTAAGGTTGTGCATACTGTACTGAACATGTAATTATTTACTTTGGTGAATATCCGTCTTAAAGCTCAAAGGGTTTTAAACGTTTTAGCTTCAATCTCGCGGAAGGGGCCCATCGTCTCAAGATCTTGACTCACTACTATCCCATTATCCTTATGAAAGCGGGCTATGGGCATAAGCTCTTCCTATATGCTATACCTACGTACCTTTGTATCATCAAAGTGCATGTAGACGCAATTTGCCGCGTTGATCAAGTAACCACAATATTTAAGTCTGCCTGAAATGACCATGCATCTGCGACTCATATTTCTTCTCTCCAGATTTTTACAACATCAGCATATATTGACACCGTGGAATCATAATACGTGGGAGTTCATTTACATGTAGTATGTACGGTAAAGAACCTTTGACGGGGCCTTTTCGTACCTTACTAAGTAATGGTTGAAATGTTCTTGGATGAAATAGAAGAAAAACTTAATTAACAAGCTTAAGTATTTAGTACCTGTGGATCGCAGATGCTGCTACATAAGAACCTAAATGTAATTAAAGATAAAAAATATTGGTAAATTATAATGAAAAACTGTCCTTATTCCCTAAGAACATATAAGGTTTTCTCTTAAAGGACTCCTGGGAATTCGCTTGGACTAGCTCAGCTGGTAGCGAATTACAGCATTTGATTACTCTTAAGCATCTGAGTGTGTGCCTACAGTCGGTTCTGCTGTTTTGTGTTTCCACTTTCTTTGTGTTGCTCCTACTGTGAAAGTCTAACGTATAAAACGATGTGGAATTTGTGTCAATATTGGTGGCAACAAGTTTGAAATATCCTGCAAGTACATATGGTCAACTTCACCACAGGATGATCCATCAGTAATAAGCATACTGTTTCACGTTTCGTACTCTGGATGTCGATAATTCTTCTCAAATTTGCATCAGATTCTGTTAGCGGCAAACTTTGTCAGACTTCTGAAGTTATCTTGTAGTCTGATGGAAACGCATGCCGGATAGATCTTGAAGGCTGCAATTGATTCTTCATTTTTTTCTTTTTAGATGTCAGAATATTCCATAGGTAAACCTTCATTATTAATATGTGTAATTGATCTTGCTTCTTCCGGTGTCTTTTCAGCTGACGATGCGGAAAGTTGACTCTGTTGTTTGTAGAATGGTCAAATGTTAAATTATTTGTGTTATATGCAACCGACCATACTTCTTTACGGTTTAACAGTATCTTGTCATAAGCTGTTTGACTTCTAGTACAATATGTGATATACCTACATGGCGGTTAAGAATGTACAATAAGAATAATTTATAGCCCATAGTGCAACATCTTCAGTTTTTACCAATCAGCACTGATAAACCCTTATGAAGTGTTCTCGTGAATATGTACAGCTCTTAGACTACACGTCAAATGACACTTACCTTCTTATGAAATCTTTGACAAACATATAAAGAGCAGAGTACTAGTTGGCACTAGTTGTCTATATGTTAGGCTAACAGCCTTTGTTCCCTCTTATTCACAATCCACCACAAAGCTAGCCGTATATGATGTATTTTTCATAATGCTAGTAAAAATACTTAAAATCCATTTGACATCAGCAGCCGATTCTTTTCTCGTCCATCCAAACATAACAGGATCTCCACATGCACAATCATCCGTTACAACGAACTGGGACAATCAATATCCACATTTATACACGCTTGGTGATTCTGATCGGGTTGACGAACTCTCCAGTGATATAATCCAAAGTAGAATGTGATGTATTCCAATTACAGTTTGTAAATAATGATAGTATTTGATTTAGACTTCAGATAACTCAATCACAAACGAAGATAGAACGAGGAATATGTGAGTAGTAGTGTATTTGTTAGCCAGCAAGAGTATGTCACGCTACGTGGTTGCACAACGGAAAGTGTGTTCAAGGTCATTTACTAAAACAGCAGTTAAAGTCATTTAATGTTAAATATAAATACAGTGGAAGGTTGACAAAATGAATACAAATAACATTGAAAACTATTTACAAAATAAGCTTGTCAGGCCTATCTCCACACGGGTACTCAAATTTAAAACTTGTGAAAATTGCTTCCGGTAACCGAAACTTCACCCGTTGAAGTACAGCAACCTAAATGCTTCTCGACATCCCATTAAACACCTTGTTAAGCTTAGCCCCAACACAAAACTTGGGATAACACCAAGAAACTGGAGGCACAACACAGTATGACGGACTGTAGTAAAACCTGCTACTCATTGAGAGTAGTCAAATTGTGGAATTCGCTACCGTCTGAGCTAGTCTAGGCGACTTTCCAGGAGTCCTTAATTAGGAGAATTGACATATTCTTGAAGATGCCAAAGGTGTTTAGAGTTCGACAACGCTTAAACAGTAACACCCAATATGAATCGTATCCACCAAATGAAATCAAAAGACAGAA